AATTTAAAATAGGACGTCTGATGAGGAAGTCAGTCTTCAAAGTATTTGAAACCAATAAAGGGCAACTTTTAAAGAGACTATTAGATCACTGCTGAATTGAGGATTAAATCAACCTTCCCCCACCCGGCCCCAAATCAAACGTGCTTTAGAAGTTTGTGGGAAGGGGGGATGCGTATGGTGCCTGTGGGATGCAGTCCTCCCCACGCCCACCACCGACTTTACTCTGTCTAGACAGGGCACCGCCCCCAAACTGTGTCCATTTTTTAGAGCGGTTTTAGGTTTACAGAAAAACGGAGCAAAAAGTACAGAGAATTCCCATAAGCCCCTCCCCACCACAAAGTTCCCCCTATTATTAACATCTTGCATTCGTGTCATCCATTTGTTATGATGAGCCAGTACATTATTATTAACTAAAGTCCATAGTATCCATCAGGGTTCACTCTTGGAATTGTACCTTCCACAGGCTTTGACAAATGTATAATACAGTATCATACAGACTAGTTTCACTGCCCTAAACATCCCCTGGGCTCCAATTATTCATCCTCCCTCTCCCCTAACCCCTGGCAACCACTGACCTTTTTACTATCTCTATAGCTAAGTCTTTTCCAAAATGTCATAGAGTTAGAATCATACAGTATGTAGTCTTTTCAGCCTGGCTTCTTTTACGGTGTAATATGCATGAAGGTTCCTCCATGTCTTTTCATGGCTTGGGAGCTCATTACTTTTTCGCGCTGAATAACGTTCCATTGTGTGGATGTACTATGATGTATCCATTCACCTATTGAAGGACATCTTAGTTGGTTCCAATCTGGGGCAACTATGACTAAAGGTGCTAGAAACATCTGTGTGCTGGTTTTTGTGCGGATGTAAGTTTTCAACTCCTTTGGGTAAATAGGAGTGCAGTTGCTGGGCTGTAGCTCATGTAGAAATTTTAGGGTGACTTGCAGAGATTCTTCTTTGGTCAATGGCTTCGATCAGAATTTTTATTGAGGTGTAGCATACATACAGTAAAGGGCACTAATCCTAAATGCACAGTTGGATGAATTTTTATACACATGCCCACACAGGTCAAGATGCGGAGCACCTCCAGCATTGGGGGCCCCCTTGTGCGCCTTCCCAGTTGCTGGCCCTCTACCATCCCCAGAGATAACACTGCTCTGACCTCTAGCACAATCCATTGTTTCTGCCAGTCGGGCAGCTCCCACCCTGCAGCTTTGGAAAGGGGATTTTTTGGGGGTGCAGGTGGAGAGAAGAGGCCGTTAGTGACAGTTTGCTTCATTTTGGTTTGTTTTGAATGGAGCCTAATTTTATCACCAAGTTCTTATTGCCCATCCAGAGCAGGGATTGGCACAAGTTCTGGGTAAATATTTTCGGCTTTGCCAGCGATTGAGTGAGCGTGGCTGCGTTCTAATAAAACTTTATTTACAGAAATAGGAAGTGGGCCAGATTTGGCCCTTGGGCTGGAGTTTGTGAATCCAGGGTAGAACAGTGCTTTTCCTTCGCAAAGTTCATGTCCAGGCCCCACTCCAGATCTGAATCTGCATGTCCCGGGTCCAGGGCAGTGTTGCGTGCGTTTTAAGGCCTCCTCGGGTAACTTTCAAGCACATTCCATGAGAACCTACCGGGTTTCCCTCCAAGGTGGGGGACAAGGCCTGTCCTGGGCCCAGAACTGTGAAAGTGGATTTAAATTTAAACAGAAGCCCAGCTAGACCCTCCCCACCTTGACTTAGGTGATCTCATTTCTCCTTTCTCCATCAGTCATTCTCTCCTCCTCCTCTTGAGATAACAGGCTTCTGCCTGGCGGGTGGAGGGAGCGAGATGGATACTGACCAGAAAATACTCACGCTGAGGATAAGGAAGTTTCGTTGGTGAAAGTGGAGGGGCTGGGGGAATATGGGGAGATCAGGAGTCTTGGGGGATCCCTGCACAGTTGAAAAGTCAGCCCCTGGGGAGTGAGAGAGAGAAGGTTGTGGTCAGAGGGGGAATTTTACAGTTTGGCCCTTGGAACGGTTTTGAGTGACAGTGAGACTGTCAGCTGCTCACAATGACTGAGCATGGTGTGTGTTTCAGGCATTACATACCTGCTACCTTCACTTGATCTTTTTAATCGAATACCCTCGGCAGTGGCTCCTGTGGGCATTCCCATTTTACAGAAGTGGAGACTGAGGCGGTGAGAGGTTCCGTAGCTTAGGGACAGCCGAGGAGCTACTCAGAGGTTGGAGCCGGGATTTGGACCCTGGCAGTCAGGCACCTCTGTACTGTTTGCCTCTCAAGGGGGTGACCAGGTGGATGCCTGAGAGGGGGGAGTTGGAAGCTGGTGGCATTGAGAGGTGGAGGTGACTGTCGGCGCGTGTGTGCTCCGTGGCTGCGGAGGTGGCAGGAGAAAAGGCTGGGGGGGACGGAGGACCCCATGTCAGGGAAGGGTGGGCAGGCTCAAGCCATGGCCTTCAAAACTCTCCAAACTAGAAAGCTGATCTGAGACCACATCCATGTTAGCGGTGGGGCACAGGCTGGGCAAACTGCAGAGGTGGACAGAGTGAGGGTTTGGAGGGTTGCCCAGAGAACAACCCGCGTAAAACAGGATCAAAACAATGGAAGTACAACGGGCATCCTTTTCTACTTGCTTTGGATAATTATAACAACAGCAAGAACAACAATAATAAGACCTTCCATTCAAGTTACGGAAACAGTCAACCAGGACCCAACTAAATAAACAGAACCTTCCAACAGGTGGAATTTTTCCTGCATTTTATTTCAGGAAACCACAGTCAAAAATAGAAAACCAGTGGGTGGGCAGGGGATTTATTTGAATGCATAACTTTCAGGTTTCACCCTGGATCAGTGCACACTTGGGTCTCTTGTAAACCTTTTAAGTCTGTATTGTTCTACAACAGAGATCCCCAACCCCCAGGCCACAGACCGGTACCAGTCCGTGGCCTGTTAGGAACCAGGCCGCATAGCCACAGGTGAGCGAGCGAAGCTTCATCTGCCGCTCGCGCCCCATTGCTCACATTACCGCCCAAACCATTCTCCCACCCAGCACACCCCACCCCCGCCTCGTCCACGGAAACATTGTCTTCCATGAAATCTGTCTCTGGTGCCAAAAAGGACAGATGTCCCCAGTGAGCCTGAAGGGACTGGATTATAAGGTTCAACACAACAAATATTTGCCGAGAATCTTAATGCCAGGTGCTCTGGGGGATATAAAATTATTGAAAACATGGTCTCTGCCCTCGAAGGATGTTCAGTTATTGGAAAAGAACTCATTTATCTTGGAGTGAAGGGGGTAAAATTGTACTTAGACAATTAGTTGAAAGATCCTCAATAAGGTTTAAGGTGAAAAGGGTATAAGAGACTCCCAAGAGTCTTAACTTCTGGAACATTCCAGGTTTGGAAGTGCTACGTGATCATGTCTAATTCTTAAATGCCAGGTACGGTCGCCAGGAGAGCTCAGCATCTGAAAGGCACAGGTGAGAACGTTCTGGAGGACAGCTGGGGTTCCGCACAGCCCCTTCTTCCTTTAGAACATGAGGAGTAAATGCAGATGTCATTACACATCCTGCCTCTGAATCTTAGCTGACGCTCCCTTGGGCGTCAGAAACCCATGGTTCTATAGGAGCCTCCTGGGTGCTTACCCTGACCACCTTCCTTCTCGGAAGGTCAAGCAGGCTTGTCCCCCACAGGCCTGCTGGCTACCTTTGCTCCCCCCAATGTGGCAAGCCGGCGGCTCACAGGCCAGTGTGCAGCACAGCCTGTGGCATTTTGTTAACATAATTAGCGACCTTTGTGTAAAAATCCGATTTCCCATGAAAAGTCTGGGTTTCTGGCTTCCCGTCAAGATATCGGATCTGGCACTACTAGGTGAGGTTTGCTGAGTAGAGTCGCCTGCCCTCCCCGCCCAGCAATGTATTGCCACCCGTCATGGGGCTCGCAGGGTTGCTTTTTATTTTTTTAAAGATAGTTTCTTTTTAATTGTATAGAAGTTTTTTAAAAAATTTTTATTATAGTTGATTTACAATGTTGTTAATTACTGCTGTACAGCAGAGTGACTCAGTTATACCTATATAAACATTATTTTTAAAAATTCGTATTATTTTATTTTTATTTTTTGGCTGCATCGGGTGTTAGTTGCGGTGCTCGGGCTCTTCGTTGTGGTGCGCGGGCTTCTCTCTAGTTGAGGCAGAAGGGCTCAGTAGTTCGGCACACGGGCTTAGTTGCCCCATGGCATGTGGGATCTTAGTTCCCCAACCAGGGATGGAACCAGTGTCCTCTGCGTTGGAAGGCAGATTCTTAACCACTGGACCACCAGGGAAGTCCCTATATACATTCTTTTTCATATTGTTTTCCATTATTGTTTATCACAGGGTATTGAATATAGTTCCCTGTGCTATACAGTAGGACTTGTTGATCCATCCTATATATAATAGTTTGCATCTGCTAATCCCCAACTCCCAGCCCATCCCTCCCCCACCCCCTCCTCCTTGCACACAGCTGCTTTCTGGCTCCAGCGTTGAAATGCAGCTCATCACAAGTGGCCAGGGGTTGGCACCGACTTGTGCATGTTGTGCTCGCTTCCCTCCATCAGGAACACGAGGCCCCCGCTGATGTGAGGCTTCTGCACCCGTGGGCTGCACATGGCCGCGCTGTTCAGTCACTGGCGGAATAACCCAGCATTTCCCTTTGGGGAATTGGTCACTGTCGCTGCTAGGCAGGAAGGTGGTGATCACTGTCACCGACACAGCTTACTTCAAAGGTGACCCGTTTGCAAACAGGGCAAGTGATATTGGAGTCAAATTAGGGGAAAGTACTGGATTCTTTAAGAGGGTGGGGGAAAAATGCTGGTGTGATGAGGATTGTTTCGAGCCTTCTAGGTTAGCGCTGCAGCCTGAATGAGTTTGGGTTTAAATGTATGCGGAACACGTGGGACACGGAAACCACAGAGTGAGTTCAGCCACTGCCCTTTGGGCCCTGGAGTGAGGGGGCTCTGGGTTCTTCCCTAGGCACCCGGTGGCCACGTTTTTCCACCTGTTTTTCCGAGTGAGTGCCACCATCACCTATGTGGGCTGTGACTGGTTCAGCAGAAGCTTCGTGGGCTGTTTTGTCACCGTGCTTCTCCTCCTGTCCTTCGACTTCTGGTCTGTGAAGGTAAGGCCCCCTCACCTGTGACAGCCTCGCTCCTGAAACACGTGGCTGCGTTTCCAGATGCTCACAGTTCTGATGCATGTGGCTGATTTGGGCTCAGAGGCACTTTGGTTTAAACTGCTGATGTGTACTTAAGAATACTAAGCCGAATACTGTCACTTAAAATTAGAGAAAAAAATACATTGCTTAGTCGAATAAATGGCTTCTGTCCTACTTGCAAACATGTAGTATATGAGGGTGACAACTCCATAGGGCTTTGGATTTTTTGTAAATTTTACATATGACATAATATTATAAATAATATATTTTAAAATTCCATATAATATGAATATATATATGTGTGTGTGTGTGTGTCTGGGGAGTCCTTTTTTTCATGAATGAAACTTTGTTTTTAAAATTTTTATTGGAGTATAGTTGATTTACAATGTTGTGTTACTTTTCTGCTGTACAGCAAAGTGAGTCAGTTATACAGTTATACATATATCAACTCTTTTTTAGATTCTTTTCCCATATAGGTCATTACAGAATATTGAGTAGAGTTCCATGTGCTATACAGTAGGTTCTTATTAATTATCTATTTTAGATATAGTAGTGTGTATATGTCAATCCCAATCTCCCAATTTATCCCTCCCTCCCCTTCCCCACTGGTAACCATAAGATTCTTTTCTACATCTGTGACTATTTCTGTTTCATTAATAAGTTCATTTGTACCACATTTTTAGATTCCACATATAAGCAATATCATATGATATTTGTCCTCTTTCTGACTTACGTCACTCAGTATGACAATCTCTAAGTCCATCCATGTTGCTGCAAATGGCGTTATTTCATTCTTTTTTATGGCTGGGTAATATTCCATTTTATATATGTACCACATCTTCTTTGTCCATTCTTCTGTCGATGGACATTTAGGTTGCTTTTTAAGGTAAGCTTAGTTAAGAATTAGAGGCCTCAAAACTGATTTTGAGAAAGCCCCACAGTTCAGTTCCCCTCTCCTCCTTCTCACGGTGCAAGTTTGGCATAAAATGGTGACTTTTATTCATCAATGAATGACCCGTGGCCTGCTTGGAGACATTCTGTCCATTTTCCTCAGAATGTAACCGGACGACTCCTGGTGGGCCTTCGCTGGTGGAACCAGATCGACGAAGATGGGAAAAGCCACTGGATTTTTGAAGCCAGAAAGGTATTCTCCAATACGTGTCAAGCTAGAACGGGAAAACGGCCGTGGAAAGTTCCCATGGGTTCCTTTTGAGCTTTGTGGGATCTGATCCCCGCCATACACAAAGCCCACTGATGCTGGCGCTCCGTTCAAAGTCACATGTGGCAGAAGCACGTGTGACGTGGACAAAAATCATAGCACGCTCCTTTGCAACCATTTTCGCTAGTATTGAAACCGAATCACTTTCCCGCCACAGGTCTCTCCAAATACCGTGGCTGCCACAGAGGCGGAAGCTCGGGTCTTCTGGCTCGGCCTCATCATCTGCCCCATGATTTGGATCGTGTTCTTTTTTAGCTCCTTATTTTCCTTGAAGCTCAAGTGGCTGGTAAGGCAACATTTGCTTGAAACATCTGTATAGAACCGGTGGTTGCAGGAGTGTGTTTTTGCTATTGATCGACCAATCCATCGAAACAACTTTGAGATAGAATTCACATACCAGGCCGTGCACCCATTAATGTGTACAATTCAGGGGCTTCTAGTCTATTCACAGAGTTGTGCAACCATCACCACAATCAGTTTTAGGGTATTTTCGTCACCCCGGAAGGAAACCTTGAGCCCTTCAGCCATCACCCTCCCCATACACCTGTCCCCCGGGCCCCTGCCACCCACTGATTTCTCTGTTTCTATAGATTTGGCTATTCTGGACATTTTCTGTAAAAGAATCATATAATATGCAGTCTTGTGTGACTGAGCCCTTTCACTTCGTATTGTTTTCAGGGTTCATCTCTGTTGTAGCTGGTGTCAGTGCTGCTTTCTTTTTTATGGATGAATACTATTCCACGGTATTAGACCACATTTTGTTTATCCATTTATCCATCAGTGAGATAATCAATGGTTATTTGTTTCCAGCTTTTGGCTCTGAATAATGCTGCTGAGAGAGGAGTTTTTAGAAAAAGTGCATGACGTCCTACCTTGGATAGGGAACCCTTCCTCAGTAGGAATAAGCTAGCCGCAGGGTTCTGCAGTTTTATTTCAGAGTTATCATTATTGCATTGCCATGATCTGAGTCATTCAATGAGGAAACAAAATATCTATGGACAGTCTGAGCAACAGCATAAAAAAGTGTGGGCTGGGCTTCCCTGGTGGCGCAGTGGTTGAGAGTCCGCCTGCCGATGCAGGGGACACGGGTTCGTGCCCCGGTCCGGGAAGATCCCACATGCCGCAGAGCGGCTGGGCCCGTGAGCCATGGCCGCTGGGCCTGCGCGTCCGGAGCCTGTGCTCCGCAACGGGAGAGGCCACAACAGTGAGAGGCCCGCGTACCGTAAAAAAAAAAAAAAAAAAGTGTGGGCTCTGGAGTCTGGATCACGGCTCAGCCTCGCTCCAGCTCTGCGACCTCAGGCAACTTTAGCTTCCCTGAGCTTCCATGTTCTCCCTGTAAAATGGGATAATAACGGCCCCAACCTCTCGGGTTCCTGGTGATTAAAAGGGGTCCATGAGTATTTGTAAGCACTCCATAGAGGTTGGCTATTACTAGCAGGTGTGGGCCGGAGCCACTCCTACTTGCTTTGGGAGGAATATTTCAATACGTGCTCTTAGGAGAATTACATTTGCTTTGTCTGAGCGCAGGCCCTTGTGATAGCTGGGATTTCTCTCCAAGCCGCTAACCTGTACGGCTACGTCCTTTGTAAGATGGGAGGCGAGAGTGACATCAGCAAAGTCACAGCCAGTTTTCTGTCCCAGACGGTGCTCCAGACGGTGAGTTATTGAAGTCTGATTCCTGGACCCCTGACCTCCAGACACTTAAAAGTCAGGGAGGCCTGTTGGCAATGGCAGGTTTTGATGTTTTCCATATCAGCCAGGCCTCCATGGTTAGTTGCATTTTTGTGTGTGTGGTTAAAATATACCCAACAAAATTTACCCTTTTAACCATTTTTAAGTGTACAGTTCAGGGCTTCCCTGGTGGCGCAGTGGTTAAGAATCCGCCTGCCAATGCAGGGGACACAGGTTCGAGCCCTGGTCCACGAAGATCCCACATGCCGCGGAGCAACTAAGCCCGTGCGCCACAACTACTGAGCCTGCACTCTAGAGCCCGCGAGCCACAACTACTGAAGCCCGCGTGCCTAGAGCTTGTGTTTTGCAACATGAGAAGCCACCGCAATGAGAAGCCTACGCGCCGCAATGAAGAGTAGCCCCCACTCGCCGCAACTAGAGAAAACCTGTACATAGCAACGAAGACCCAACGCAGCCAAAAAAAAAAAAAAAAAAAAAGGCAGAGTTCTTTAAAAAAAAGTGTACAGTTCAGTATATCCACATCATCATGTCACCACAACTCTGATCTTCACAAACCAAAACTCTGTACCCACTGAATGTTTAACTCCCCATTCCCCACCCTCCCCCCCACCAACAAGCTCCAGGTAACCACCTACTTCCTGTCCCCATGCATCTGACGACTCTAGGGACCTCACCTAAGTGGAATCATACAGCGCTTGTCTTTTTGTGACTGCCATTGTCGGTTTTGAGTGATTTCTTTAAACGACAGAATTAAGAACCATAACATTTTTTTTTTTAAAACCTAGCCTTAGTTCTAGGAGAGAAATAGATCTTCTAAATTTGACCAGGCTCTTCCTGAAATGGTCTGAACCATCTTAAATGTGAACAGTGCAGCTTCACACCAAGACCTGGAGCAACCAGCCCTACAGGCTTTCAGTTCACTGTGGGTTTGCTCTGGCCTTGAATCAGCAGGATCAGGCCACACACATGTGAGACAGAAAGCCAGGGCAGCCTCTTCCCCTTGCAGGCCTGTCCAAGAAACTTCCAGAAGCCTGGCCTTGAGGGGCTGGAGATTCACAAGTATTAGGTAAGAGGTGGGATCGAGGTGGCGGCCTGGACCGTGCAGGGCCGGGGGCTCCCGTGGAAGTGCAGCTCCCCTGGGTTCAGCTGGGCCTGTGGTCTGGGTGGGCCCTTTAGAGGGGTCCCACCTTCCTCACCTTGAACAGGTGGATTTGACTCTATGTAGGCAAGCGGGGTGGGCGACGAGAGAAGGGGAGGGCAAGGCATTTGCCCACCTTCCACTTCCATGCCTGGAATCAGATGGGAACTGGGAATTTACTCTTCCCTCAGCTGCTCTCAGTTCCTGTGTGTCTTCCAGAGTGAGCGTCTCATGGCAATGAGGATCTTCTTGGAGTTTGCATCTCTCTTTTTATGTAATGTTAAAAAACGCTGTAAGTTGTCTGACACTGGAAATTGCTGGATATAGTGAACACACATTCCTATACAGGGTGTCGACACTGACCCCCAAATCTGTTCTCATGTGGGTGATTCGACGGTTTTTTGACTGTGCCCGGCCATGTGGTGTGCACTGACCTCAGGACAAGCCCCAGCAGGAGGATCTATCACTGCTTTAATTTTTTCTCCACCTGAGGAACAGCATTTGCACTACGCTGTCTGCACCTGTGACTGTATATCTGCAGCAAAGCCACACATTCACCCCCTTGTCCCTTTGGTTCTTTTTCAGGCTTATTTTCCGAGGCAGCGAAGGCTCAAGTGAGAGGTTCTGTAATGGAACAGCTTCCGACAGAGAAGAAAATTCCATGACCCACAAGCCGCTGGTTTTTTACATGAAGCAGGCCTTGGGGCAGAGGTTTGAGATGTTTTTATTTTTGAAACGGCACATCTGTAAAGAATGCCCTTTACATATGTTCTAAAGAAAAGTGTACAAACGTTAGATGATTAAAGTGTCTCTGAAAAAGTGACTTCACACCACGCCTGGGGCTGGTCCCTCTCTGCCTGTGACCCCTGCTCTGTCACGCAGCTGGTCAGGTGTGATGGGACGTGCTGCTTGTGTTCCTAACGTCCTCCTGTTTCAGGAGCCGACGAGGTTCTCCCCTTTTGGCTGACACAGACTACAGAACTCCTGGATTCCTGGAAAACAAGACAGCAGGCAAGGAAGCAGTTGCGGCTCTTGGTGGCCCTGCCCTTTGCTGGCGAGGCCGCGTCTAGATGGGGTGGAGTCCCCAGGTGGCTTAATTCTCCCAATAGTCCCATTTCGGCTTATGCCCTGAATCTGAAAGTGAGCCCAATACTGCCCACTGCCCACCTGTGGTTATAACCACAACTGGAGGCCTCACGCTGGCCCATTCTACAGATCAAGAATCCCGGAAATGATGTGATTTACCCTCAACACCATTTCACTAGGTCAAAAGGACTCAGCCACAAACCAGGAGCCTAAAGCTTTAACTACTGACGACACCTGTGCCTTAGATTCAGCGCCCCTGACGGCTGCCTGTCGTTGACTGAATCAGGCCTGCACGTGGGCTGGGTCTGGCTCACTGTGCTGCTTTTTTCTTCTTCATTTCTTTTTATAGCTTTATTGAGGTGTATTTCCTATACCATAAACTTCACCGTGTTTTTTAAACTATGACTTAGTTCACAACACTGAGGTACCAGAAGATTTTTCAAGACTCCTGGCTTCCCGGGCTGATGGGGTCATCCCAGACCTCACTACCCCAGTGTCCCCACCAAAGCTGTGTGGCCACTTATGGCTGCAGTGACCACGTATGGTCCTGAACGGGGCCTTCTCACACCCAGCCCACTCTGCTCATTTAAGTCACTTCCTGGCCCCGTGCCGTCGGGATTCACAGGACTCGCTTCAACACTTACTCTGGATTATACTTCTGTAGGCTAAAGTGGCTGGTGAATCCGGGGCTTCAACCAAAAAAGACTGTCCTTTGTCGCAACTCTTACCTTAAAGAAACAAAGGAAAGAAAATCCATGAAGAAAGCACAGTGGTGATGTGAACCTGGGGCTCTTTCTGTGCCCATGACACTGAAGATCGAGCCCACCTCACTTGTAATGAAGATCAAAGCTGAGACAGAATGTCGGGGTCTCGAGGACCTCACCTTCCCCCCCCTCCATCCAGCAGGGACCCTGGCTAGCATTTCCTCGCAGCTCTGACCTGTACCTGGCTGATGGTGTTTAGTGTGTGTGCCTGCGAGTCATCTGGGTCATGTGCAGCAAATGCAGGTTCCAGGGCCCCCACTGTGATCAGATACAGCAGCTCCTAGGCAGGCCCAGGAACCTGCATTTAAAAGACCAATTCATTCTTTCAGTAAAAAGATAATGAAGGCACACAGTAAGAGTATAGAATACAAAAGGTTATACCATGAAGAATGAGTTCAAAGGAGGCTACCAGTGTTTCAAGTATCCTAGAAATATATGCATATATATACATATACACACTCATGTATTTTAAAAAAATGCTTGGGAGTGTATGACACACGTATTCTGCCCGTTGCTTTCTCCATGTGTAATTTTATCTTGAAGGTCTCTCCAGGTTGGCATCCATCCATCTGCTCTGTGTACTGCAGTGCCGCCTCGGGACACATAGGTGGTCTCGCATCCAGGTGAGCACGGGGCGGGACCTTGGGCACGCGGCGTGCTCCCCTCCCGTCTGGTCCTGGGTAGACCCCGCTGCCAGCTCCTCTGCCCCCGCCCCCCCTGCTGGAGAAGCAGGATCAGTGGTTCCACGACCCACAGCCACTCCCCAGCCTCCTGGGGGGATCCTGGCCAGGCCAACCGTGGAGCAGTCGTCGCCTCAGCTCCCCAGCATGTTGCCCCGTGGGACAGGGACACCCGAGACGGGGGGCAGAGTGGGCCCCCATGTGGCCCGGGCACTGTGAACTGTGGCGGAAGCAGCTAGGGAAGCCTCCGAGTTCACGGTCGCTGGACTGGGTCTGGGAAGTCACAGGTCCCACAACAGGCTCGTGGGGCCACTTCCTTCTGATTTTCATCCAGCGTCCTCTCACTCCTCGTCCTCCCTTCCCCAGAGGACATGCCTGTCCCCTTATAAATGTGCTCTGGTCAGTTCCCCGTCTCCACAAACCTCCCCCTCCTGCCTGTCGCCTGCAGGCGGCACCCCTTGGGCACTGCCCTGTCCAAGGCTCCCCTTGTGGCCCTCCTTCCATCTGTGCAGCCCCTGGCAGTGGCTCCATCACCGTGCCCACCTCGCAGGTGCGGCCTGAGGTTCAGTGCCTGGCAAGGACCCGCCGGAGCCCGCAGCCAGCGCTGGGGCAGCGCGGATCTAGGCCAGGGCGCCCGGCCCAGACGTGCTTCCGCGTGACCCTCAGGCGTGCGGGGCTGGGGAGGCCGAGGATCACGGTGCCAGAGCCCGGCCGCTCCTCTGCTGCACGTTCCCACAGGGGCTGAGCGCGTCCTTCGCGGCCTCTTGTCTGTTCCTGGTAATGTGGCTATTCCCTCACCAGACAGAAGCGGCTCCAGAGGGTCACAGCGACCTCACTTGGCCCTGCCCGCCTCGCCGCAGCGCGTCACGGCATTAACCGCCTGTCCTTTCCGACGCCGGCCCAGCTCTCTGCAGCTACAGCCAGAGGTGAGGTCTGGGGACATGAACCTTGTCACGCTAGACATGTACCCGCTAGACGTCACTGGATCAGAGGCTGCACCAGGCCACCTCTCCTGTAAGCTGCTCTAAGGACTAAGGCGGCAGCACAGCCTGGAGCGGATGGCGGTGACAGGCTGCCACCACTCACTGTCCCCCACAAGTTCATGTGGGCCGCCTGCCTCTGGAGGCCTTTGAGGGGAGGTACCTGCTCCTACGGCCCAGAGGGAAGCTCTGGTCAATGCGAAGACAGTTTACAGCAGCGGGGAAGGCTGGAAAAGCAGCCGAGTTCTCTGTTTCTTGGGGAAACCACATACCAGAAGTGCTGCTGGGAGTGGAAACAAGCGAGGTGCGATCTCCGGAGCTGCCCCCCAGGTCCCCCGGGCTTCTCGGGGGCTCTTCCCGTCCACCTCCTCAAGGCAGGCCTCCTCCGAGCTGCGCTCTCGGCCCCTCCTCTCTGCACCTCCCACCCCCCGTCGCGGGCACGTCCCCCTCCACTCCTGACCTCTCTCCCCAGCCCGCTGACCAGGCCAAGGCCTCGCCCGCCTCCACACAGCACCAGGAGGGAGCCAGCGCTTCTCGGTGCTGCCCCCGTCTCCTCGGTGGCTCACACTGGGCAGCACGGGCGTCCATGACACCTCTCAAATCCTGGCACTTTCCCTCTCTGTGTACCCCCCTCCCTGGCAACGCCCAGGCCCCAGTCCAGCCCTAACCTCCTCCCCGTTCTCCTGCAGCACAGCCACCATGGCCTCGGCCTCTAGGTGCACACGGCGCCCACGCTCCCAAGGCTCTCACTTCCTAACAACTGGGGCCTGAGCGCCGTTGGTCTCTTGTCGGCTTCCCTCAGGCCCAGGCCCCTCTGCGTAACCTAACTGTCCCACTTCCTCATGGGGGGGCTCACACCTAACTTCAGCAAGGTCAACTCCTGCTACTGTGGGGAAACAAATCTGGCGGTGGGTGTCCTCACCACTCCACTCAGCGAGCCGACGCCCTGGAGTGAGTGTGGGGTGGAGGTGGGGTCCCCGGAGGACTGTGGCACTCAGAGAGGAGCGTGACCCCCGGAGGCAGGCCAGCGACTTCCCCTCACGCTCACCGAGAGAAGCCGGGTGCAAGGAGGGCTGCGGCGGGATTCCCTGTACACTGGACATGCGGGGCACCTTCCTCGGGAGTCTTCAAGGCTAATTCTGTACCCGGCTTTGAGTCTGAACCTAATTCCTGTGTAAGAGAAGACTCGAAGGCACGCCCCTTGCCGCCTCCCCAGGTCACCCCCGGCCTGGTGGGGGTCCCCTTAGTGACTTCCTTTCCTCCTGCCCTCCTGCACCAGGCGTCTCCCTGACCAGTCTCTCCTCTCCTCTGCAGGCCCCTCTCGCCGCCCCGAAGTTCTCCTGCTCCCTCGGCTACGCGCCGCCACACGTCTCGCTGCTCCTCTCAGCTGGAGGGTGTGCAGCCTCCACCAGGGACTC